GGCTGAATCCTGCAGCCCACAGCTGGCATCTGTAGCTGTGCCCCCAGCCTGGCACAAGTGTTAATTATACAGCACTGCCCATCAGCAAACGCCAGGCCTGAGGGGTTTGTGCAATCTGGCAAAGCTCTACAACTGCTCCCCCAAAACTCTTGTGCTCCAATAACCAGAACAGCCCATTTGACTGTAAAAAAGGAGAACAGAAGGTATTTAATGTCCTCATTGGGCACAGAAGTCCAAGGTCACTGAAGCAAGGTGAGGTTGTCTGTGGTTTCCTCGTCAGGATGCTGGGCAGCCAAAGCCACCAGCATGTGCCCAGTGTGACTTCAGGACCCGTGTCACCTGCCAGGCAATTCCCTTTACAAGGTGAAACATCAGGGCAGCACATCCTGCTCCAGCCCTGACAGCCTGAATTCCTGCTTCCCTCCAACCACAGCATTCACACCAACCACCACGAGTTTCGGGGTTAATTCCCACAGATGGGCATAAGCACAAATGAATTCCAAAAATCTTACGGAAAAAAATAAAACTGTCAGATGCAATGACAAAAACTGCAATTATCTAGATGCAGGTTTGGCTGGGGAAGTACTTGCCTTGACTGGGAGGCACTGGGAGCCACAGGCAGGGCTGCTCTGTACACTTTGGGTTTTTTCCCCTTTGTACTTTTAGCCCCGACCATCTAGCAGCAAAGTTAAATGGATGTTTGCTCTGACAGCACAGCCATTCCTACATTGTTACTGCCAGCAAACAAACAAAACATGATGCACATTTACAGCTTAAAACCCCTGAAAAAAAAGAAAAAAAATCTCTTCTTCCAAGCCTCGAGGTATGCTGTACTTTGTATTTTGGAGCTGCTCGCAAGAGGAAGGAAAGTGGGTTCATCAAGTCCTCAAGGCTATTCCAAACATTTTAATTGCTTGTCTTCTCTGTTCTGCAGAGAGTGCTAAAGCAGCTCACCCCAGCCCCTGTCTCTGGTCTGTTATTCTCTGTGTGCACACACACATACACACACACTGCTGTATCTCGCTGCTGCTGCTGAAGAAAACTGACATTTTTGCTTCTGGGCAGATAAGACTCCCCAGAGTACAAGGCACAGCAGCAACCTCCACTTCTGTAACCAAATATTTCAGACATAAACAGATAAGAATTTTAATATCCTGCAAACGCAGCCATTAGCAGCTTTTCCTAATAAAATTACGAATTTATGAGAGAGCCTTAGGCAATGTGGATGCACACATTACACACAGAAATCTCAGTCAACCCATCAGAGCCCGTGCAAAGCCCCACAGTTGTGTAGCAATACTTCTTGTCCAACAACAGGCAAGTCTCAAAGCACCACTCAGAGCCAGCAGGAGCCTGGTCCATGTAGAGCAGCCTTCTCCTGAATGGGGGCACTGCTGCTCGTGTCTGCACTTCACTGGACACAGAAATTGAGCTGAGATCACAGACAGCTTTCCTTATTTCCCATTAGCCAATACAGTGCCTGATAATCACATTTACAACTTCAGAACAAGGGCACAAACACAATGCTGTAACAGTTTTCCCAAAACTTGTCAATCTCCCACTCAAAATACCTTAGTTTTTCCTGGGCCTGTTTTATACACTCATGGACAATTTTCAACTTGCTCTTGTGCCAGCTTCCCCCGACAGGTCAAATAAGCCTTTTCCTCCCTGAGCTTCCCTTTACAATGCACTCAGAGCCAGCAGTCACATCCCCTCTCAATCTTTGATTTCCCAAGCTAAACAAACCTGACTCATCTCATCTCCACTTCTGTACCCTTCTCTCTGTTCCTGAGCTCCCCCTGCTCAAACACTGCCCAGAAGTGCATCAGGCTGGGCTTGTGGCACCAGCACCTTCATCTTCCTCCTGAACACACAAAATTGCATCTTCCTTCAGCTGATCACAGAATCAGAATGCTTTGAGTTGGAGGGACCTTAAAACTCCCTTTGTTCTACTCCCTGCATGGGCAGGGACACCTTCCACTATCCCAGGGTGCTCTGAGTCCCCTCCAACCTTGAACATTTCCAGGGATGTGACATCCCAGGGGCAGGTGCTGTCCTCCTGCTGCAGGGGCACTGCACTGCAACAGGGCTGCAGGCTCAGCTGGGTGCTCCTGCTGCAAGCTGAGCCTTTTTCCTTTGGGGTTTTTATTTTTTGGGGAGGTTTGGTTTTGTTTGGGGTTTTGTTGGTGGTTTTTTTGGTCAGCTTTTGTTTTTTTTACACGAAGCAATTAAACCACTCCAAATAAAACAGAGCTTCAGCATTTTTATTAATGCAGTCCATGAGTTCTTGCATTTGAACTCCTCAGCAGGTGAACAAATGGAACCTCATCTCAGGGGCTTAAAGCAATGCAGATGCCACAAGGGTGTGAAGGAAACACCAGAGATGAGCACAGCTGGGCAGCAAAATTCCTCTTGTGCACCTCTGCAGACACTTCCAGTCCTTCTAAAGACACTCCTCTGCTTTTCAAGAACACCAACTGGCCCCGGGGGACATTTCTCCCTGGCCTGCACCCGAGGTGCAGCAGTTCCTCCAGCTCACAGGTTCCATTCCAGACAATCACTCCAGAGAGCCCTGATGCCATGGAGCTGTCCCAGTGCTCCCAGTGAGGGTGCACTTGGACAATGTGAGCAGCCTGGAGGATCAGCACAGCCTCTCTGGAGCACCAGAACCTGCTAATTCCTGGGATATGCACACATCCTTACACCATGCTGTGGGACTGTCACCTCTGTCACTGCCCGGGGGGCAACTCAGCCCCTCCATGCACTCAGAAGCAAAGGAACTCTCTCTGCAGGTTAGGTTAAAGGAGATAAATGGGAAGCCATGATGGGTTCTGTCAGAGAATAACAGTTAATCCGGTCATCAATCAAAGAGAAATAAATTAGGCCATGAAATCTTTCTGGTCTAGGATTGCTGCTAATTATGCCCTGGGCTGTAGATGATTATCACTTTGCAGACTCATCCCTCAATGTTCATGGATTCCTGGAATCTGTGCTGATGGATCATTATCCAGCCTGTGCACCATTAGCAGGATAAAGACAGGGTGCTGCTCTGTGCTGAAACACCACCTCAGGTCACAGAGCATGGACCACACTCTTCTTTCACTATTCTGGAGTAGCAGAGCTGCAAATACACATCCCTGTAGCTGTTCCAGTCACACACTGTGCAGGAGAGCAGGGATGAACAGGCATCTCCCAAACACTGCCACAGTGCTCAGGGGCACCTGGGTGAACACATCCCTTCCACAGGGTCAGAGGGAACTCTGAAGGAACAGGATCCCACCATAACCACTGGGACCACACGAGTGGCCTGATAAATCCCAGTAATTAATCCATTTCATTGGAGAACAGAACGGCTCTGCCTGGAGATGACAGCACTTTCCCTCTAACACAAGTCCCAAGTACAGCACACATATGAATTAATGTGACAACACCCCTGACAGACTTACTTACAGAAAGTTATTAACATTCTTCTGGTGTCCCAAACAGAACTAGAAGTGCTCATGGGCAAGGAAAAAAGCAGTACAAGGCAAAACAAGAGTTCTCTCTGAACTGGCTTTCATTAGGAAGATTCACAGACTGAGAAATGATTAATTCTCTCACTAAGCCATTAACTACATTGATGCTGACATAACCACAGTGGCAAAAATGCAGATACAGTTTATTTTACAGTGGGCTGCAAACGTCTCCAGCCCTGACAAACACACTGAAAACAGAACTGTATGTTCTCTGCTTTGAATAGAGGAGTATTGCTATCTTTAATTCATAGCCATTCCACGCTGCTCTTATTAATAGTGCCATAAATCTGCCCTAAAGTGATGGTTTTTAATTACTGACCTCAGAGGGAATAAAGCATACAAGACCTGGGCCTCTCAGAACAGCATGAGGAAGCCACCCCCTCATCAGACAGAGGGTCCAGCTGTGTGATGGGACCTGCTGCAGCCCCCAGCCCGTGTCACCCAGAGCACAAGGAGCAGCGACCCCAACAGCTGTGCCACCAGCTGTGCTGGTTCTCTGCGGGGCTCGGTGCTCCAGCGAGCCCAGCAGCTCTGCCTGCCCCGGGGGCAGCGAGCACCGGGACACGGCCGGCCCCAGCAGGTCCAGCCCCGGCAGAACCTGGGGGGATCGGGAAAGTCGGGGGGACCCAGCCCCGGCCACACCGAGGAGATCGGTGGTACCGGGTCAATCGGTCAGACCCAGCCCCGGCAACCCCGGGGGAGCTCGGTTGGACTCAGCACCGGAGGGGATCGGTGGGACACAGGACCGGGGAACATCGATGGTACCGGCGGGAGGTGGGTCGGATCGGGGGAAGCGGACGGACCCGGTACCGGGGGGGATCGGCCGGACCCGGTACCGGGGGGTGGCGGTCCCGGAGCGCCCCCTGGCGCCCCCGTGCGGCACCGCCGGAGCCCCGCCGAGCTCCCCCTCCCCGCACTCCCGGGGGTCCCGCCGAGCTC